GGAGAGCGTGAAATTTATCGAAAAGATAAGTCAGACTCGTCTTATGCAAATGTTGAACGCACGGCCAAATCCGAATCCAATACCAGGATGCTCACAGTTTTATGGCTCGTCAGAAAAGTATTGGGCTTGTTACGCACGCTATTTCACATCGACCATTTATCATCCAGTTGGTACTTGCAAGATGGGTCCTGTCAATGATCATTATGCCGTCGTTGATGCTAGATTAAGAGTCCACGGAATTACGGGATTGCGAGTGATCGATGCGTCGATCATGCCGCGCATAGTATCAGGGAATACTAATGCGCCGACAATTATGATAGCACAAAAGGGTGCCGACATGATAAAAGAAGACTGGTTATAATTCGATAAATGTTCAAGATTACATTTCACGAGACTGATGCAGAATAGAGAGTGTATTGTTTCTTCTCATATTCCCCAATATAAGTATCTTTATCGGTGTATTTCTAATTATATTTGAGTTGATTTAAGAAAAAACTGTAACGCTACATTTCAAATGTGTGTTATATTTCTCAAATGTAATAACGACAATCGTAATAATACAATGATCAATATTTACCTAGAAACATGATGAAACATATGTATATGTTTGTACAAAGCATTTATTTCTAATGCGAAATATTAATTATAATAGATAGAAGAAGATAGTTTATAAAAAAGCTATCTTGTAAAAAAATTTTGTATTCGTTTTTTTTGTAGCCTTTCTTCATTCAGCGAATTGTTTATAGACCACACGTATACCCAATTGTTACGATATTTATATATTGAGCCCAAATAATGATGAACGCGTATAATAAAATATAAATGCTTATTGATATATGATAAATTACCAATTTTTAATGTGATGCTTATGCATTTCAAAATCGTTCATAATATATTTAATTAATTTGTATACTTACGCACGATACGTCTTGTCATATCGCTGATTTACGTTTCGAATAAATATATATTTGGTATTACGATAAAGCCATTTTTACGATAAAGAATTTTTTAAACCGTTGTTAAAATTTAATATTTAAGATTATCATACAAAAATCAATCATGTAAAAACTAAAAAATATACATAATCTAAATATAGAACATATTCTGAATACAACACATTATTGGTCGTTTCGCTCGCATAGTTGTTTAAAATTCTCATGTGCAGATCATCATTAAAAAACAACTAAAAATCGACATGTTCTCGATTATTTATCAGCATTTTCATACGTTATTCTTAAAACTCTAAGCCAAATCGTAATCAAAATTTAATTGCGATTTTTTTAACTTTATCAAAACACAAATCTTTTTAACTTTATCAAAACACAAATCATATACATGTTCATATTTCCATATTCTTGCCGGTTTGAAAAATCATTAATGTAATAATTATAATGGATGAATAATGTCATGCATACAGTGTATAAAAATGTATATATAAAAGACATATAAATCACAAAATGATATATTATGATACGTACGAGTTTGTTTACACGAATCATGATAAATACGCTTATAAAATATTGCACTGCAAACTTTGAATTTTTCGATCCAATTTAATTGAAGGTTACGGTGGAAAACAACATGATAAGTCACTCAAATTCATGTTGATGCAATTATACAATTTTAAAAGTGATAAAATAAATATACTAATATAATGATAAAAGAAAAAAAATAAAAATGATTTTTATTTCAATTTGATAGAAAGCTATTCTATCTATGAAATATAAAAGGAAAAGAGAGACATGCATAGGTGCAAATATTGAAAAAAATTGATCGTTATGCATTGCAACAAGATATTCTCGGCGCTTTTTGCGTTTATCGATGACAATCTTTGATTCTTTAAGTGCAATGCAATTTTGATGCAGGATGCACTTAAGTGGTTTAAATGTAATTTAATGATAAATCATCGTACGTATTCTCCAAGATACTTCTAAATAAGTCCCTAAGTATCTAAATTATTATTGCGTTTTTCAATAACTTTTCGTTTATAATCTATATGTGTATGTTTACTCTCAAATTATAATGTAATGATGTGTGATCCATATGTACAAGTGTGTGATATACACATTGAAGTCTTCCTCCACCATACGATTATACGGACGTTTCTTTTTATATATGAAAAGTAAATTGCGCAACAGAGTTCATTTTCTCTCTATAAACCAGTATAAATTCTTCGTTCGGTACCTGCATGGAATGGTAACGATAATTTGAAGTTAGTGAAACAATATCCTTGTGATATCCTTCTAAAAACACACACACACACACACACACACACACACACACACACACACACACACACACAAACTAGGATATTACACATCTAAGGTAAAGAATAAAGACGCTACCTTTAGTTATTTTTATTTATTATTTAGTTATGAATATATATTATAAGACAATTTACTTAAACGACTTATTACTAATAGTTCCTATACATTAAACGGAAGACGAATTTTAAAGAAGTTATTAAATTAAGTAATAAAATATGTTGTACATTATAGTTATGACAATAAAAAAACAAAAAAATAAAGTTAGATACAATTAGATACAATAGAGTTGATACAATTTTAGATACAAGAAAATAATATTCGTTTGGTACATTCGTTATTTACGACTCACTGAATAGATCGATCTCAGTCGGTGGCATACATATATTTAACACCTATCTAGATATACTTTTTTTTCATTTTCGTGGATATTGATTGAATACAATATGATTCATCAATAATTTGCAATTCATCAATTATTATTTAATTAATATGACTGAACAATCGAAATTGACTATGTCTAATCGTAACGTGATCAAACAAGATGCTTTTTTCATTTTTCATGACTCTATTCAGCATTTCGCTACTAGTTCAATTTTCTCTGCAAAATATGAATAATTAGTGAATATGTTAACAACTTATGTTACGAGTGATTGCGATAATCCTTCGTTTATGCAACAAACGAGCGATTTTTTTTATTATTTTCATTATCTAGCGAGTACTCACTCATATTTCCCTTGATTCAGTGCGACTAAACCTAAACGAGTTAAGATGATGAATATGATGACTGTGATTTTAAAGCTTCAATTCCTTTTTAAGAATCTTTAGGTTTATTATATCATTCAATTAAACATTTCTCTTTTTTTTCCGTTCCTCTTCTTTGTATTCATTTGGGCAAAAGAAATTCTTTATTTATTACATGATTCATCAAAAGTATAAACTCAAAAACTTTAATTCCTTCTTGGTTTTCTTAAAATTTGATCACTCAATCCTCGAAAAATAAATCCTAGATATGTTAATTCATGCGGTGTGAATCCTGCTTAGAAGAGGGAGACTTAGACGATGACGTCACACCACGTGTGTCTTCTCCGTCGACGAATGTTTCTGACCACACGCGATGAGTTTCTCGATTAGTGGCATATAGTGTGCTCGAGTCCCTTTGGCTCTGCCAAACGGTACGTGCCGAGAAAATGATCGTGTCGCGAATCTGTGACACTCTGAGTCGATCGCTCAGAAGGATTTACTACTTCTAGGCCGGTCATTCATAATCCGTTCTTGCTTCAAATCCGGCTTAAATAATGTCAAATAATGAAAAAAATGTTCATTCGGTTCTGTAATTAATTTATGATACCTCAAATTTGTAAACAATCTTAAATATGTATGTAAAAACGGACTATAAATATCGATTTTAGTGATAAGATGAATCGATCAGTATCCAACGTGTTCTATATTATCGTTCTATATTATCGTATAAATATCATCGAAATATCGATTACCATGAAAAAATGTTAAGACTTCATACTTTTGTCCAGATCTCAGGTAATGTTTGGATAAAAAGAGCATGGAAAAGAACAAGTTCAAAACACATGGATCTGTTAAATGCCTTTACGTTAAAATATATACTTTTTGTATTTCTTTACGCCATGATTTACTGAAAATCATGTATACGATGTCAATGTAGTGAAATGTAGTCCGATATCGCTATAATGAATATTACCACATGATCAATTGGTAGTCAACAGTTTTTAACAATGGAAAAAAAAACAATTTAATTAAAATAGAAGCTTTTAATAAAGATCCACAATTTCTCAGCTCTTATATACATAAAAGTAGAATTGAGATCTAAAATAGGAATGTATCTTTATTTGTCTTTATGTGTCTTTATCTCTGTTTTATGCAGCACACATCTGCCGATGTATAATTTCATGAAATTTTATTTGTTTATTTCTGTTTTCGGATGGTAAAACTTCTGCCGGGTCTTTTGTACATGTGATATGTTCGCCTATTTTTGTTGTATCGGTCATTATGCATTCTTCAATTGCTGCAGTAAAAATTTGACACATACGCACGTGTCACGCATGCACGCACGCAACGCGCGACATTTTCTTAACGTCAAATTAAACTTTTGGATTATTAATTATATCAAAATTTTGGATTATCTTTTGATAAATAAATAAGTTAAAAGGCCAATTATTCGCGTTATGCGTATCCTAACAGTTTGAAAAAAGACAAGGAAATTATAAAATATACATAATAATTATATTATAAAGTTGCGAATCTCTCAATATACTATCACATGATAAAGTAAAATTTAAGTTAATACTACAGGATTACTGATATGCAGGACGATTAAGTTTATTGCAACACATGCTTATTGTCGACGTATGCTATTGTTTTCAACGATACTCATAAATCGTAGTATAATTGATGCTTCGTTTCTCTCGTTCAAGTATTTGTAAGCAGACATATGTCGAAACTCCATTGCAATCATTTTTAAGCGATTATGTATCCTTTCATTAACAAGCTTGACGTAAAGTATATATTAACGATTCTCTACGATAATAATTGAACAGTGACATTTTTCCGGCTTGTGTCCCGAAAAAATACAATAGTATGTGTTTGTCATCGTAAATTATAATGACACATACATATTCACACACGCGCACATATGCTCAAGTAATAATAATATTACTAAACGGTGTTATTTTTAAATTCTATTATGCAGAAAATATACAAGCGCTATAATTTATTATTATGTATTTTTTGCACTTTACTCAAAATAATTCGTTTCTATTAACTTTCTTCTTTCACATTCACAGATGATATTAGTTTTTAAATTGCAGACATGCGGTGGTACTTCCTTTTGTTAGCCTTGACACATTATGTTGTTGCTACCCCAGTCAACGCACGTTATGTAAGCAGAGTAGATACTAATTTTTTATAATATCAGAAATTTTCAACTTATAATGATATATCAACGGGAAAAAAAATGTTTGTAGAAAAATTATAAAAAAGATTTATAAATACATTTACTGTTAAAGAAATACAAATTTTTTTTTCAAAATAACAAAATCTTTTATTTGTGTCCTCATTAAAACAAATAATATTTTTCAGTCGATTCAAACAGCTAACGACTATGCGACTACTGGATGTTGCTTCTGCCAGTTCGAAGATACGCAATATATGAGCCGCATCTGCGACAGTACTTTTATGACATTAGTTCAACATGTAATATCTTCCAGATGTGATATCGCTGATCCTTGCCGACGATTAGGCAAAGATGAAACACCAAATGAAAATGAATGGTAGGCGTTTGCGCGAAGTTTATTGTTATAAACATAAAAATATTTCGACATATTCTGCTTTATTAAAAAAAAAAGAAAAATCCTAACGTCATTTTCAATGTCCAGGTTCGACTTTGTAATTGTCGGTGCAGGTGTGGCAGGTCCAATAATAGCGAGAAGATTGAGCGATAGTCCATGGAGAAAGATTTTGCTTATCGAAGCTGGTCCGGAAGAACCTACAATGACAGCTATACCAGCATTTGCTTTCAATGCCGTGAATACAACCCTCGATTGGAACTTCAAGACGGAACCAACATCACCGCATCCTACCGCCTGTTTGAGTAAAATATTATCTTGCGTTTTGTTCAACGAGCGATTTTATGTAAAATGTTAATCACAGTTGTTAATAATAGCTTTTGAAATCTTAATTTAACATGAGAAATTCAATTGATAATTCTCTCGATTTTCTAAAGATGAAAATTAATATGATTAAATAGAGAATTAGCATTTTGATAATGAAACGTTATTGTATCAACTTTACGATTCTTCTTTTGTAGAAACGAATGGCGTCTGCACGTGGCCAAGAGGTAAAATGGTCGCCGGAACTGGTGGCTTACACGGTATGATGTACATCCGAGGACATCCTGAGATCTATAATCGCTGGGCACGGGGGAACTTGGGGTGGTCGTATGACGAGATCAGTTATTATTTCGAACGAGTGGAAAACCCGATTGACCCAACAATCTTATCAGATAAGCCCAGAAGTTTAAAAGAAAATGGTCCGATGAATATTCAGTATTATCCGCACAAGCCAGATTTCGCGGATGTGCTGTTGACAGCCGCTGGTGAGCTGGGTTACAGGACTTCCCAGTTGAAAGAATACAACCAAACCGGCTTCATGGTCGCGCCGATGACGATTAAAAATGGTATGCGTCTCACAACTTCGAGAGCATACTTGAGGCCCGTTCACGATCGTAAGAACCTGCGAGTATTGACAAACACGCATGTCACCAAGATCTTGATTAGTCCATGGGAACAAAAAGCTTACGGCGTGGAACTGATGGATAAGAACGGCAACAAGAAAGTAGTAAAATGCGATAAAGAGGTAATTTTAACAGCCGGTACTATTGGTTCGCCGCATATTCTTATGAATTCCGGTATAGGGCCCGAAAAAGATCTCACCAAGCTTGGTATTAAGGTATACAAAAACTTGCCAGTCGGCAAGAATCTGCATAATCACGTGTCCGTGGGGGTGGCCATGAGTATCAGAGACATACCGTACGAAGTTATAACCATGGACGCTGTAAATGAATATCTGGAAAATAAGACGGGTCCGTTGGCTAGCACCGGAATAACTCAAGTCACTGCTTTTCTCGAGAGTAGCTATGCAATCAATGGTATTCCAGATATCCAAGTCTTTTTCGACGGTTTCAGCTCCACTTGCTCAAAAACCGGTCTACTCAACGAATGTATCAACGGTAGAGCTCAATCCGGTTGTCCGGATAGGAGAGAGATCGTGGCGAGACCTACGGTTGTTCTCGCGGAGAGTCGAGGCGATTTAAAACTTCGTTCGAACAATCCGTTAGATCCACCAATGATATATCCAAATTATTTCACGGAAGAAAAGGATCTGATGATTCTTCTCGAAGGTATAAAAAAATTAGCAAGCTCGTCGATACATCTGTTATGAAAAAGTGGGATCTTCGTTTGGAACAAGTGAGAAGTCCATTGTGCCACGAGTAAGTAATGCCAAAAATAATAATATTTTGTACAAAACAATTTGTAACTCTAATTTCGATTTTATCCAGATAAGTTTGTAGTCAATTTTTATGGTAAAAATGTCGAGGAACTAATATAGTTTTTAAAACAGATTAAAAATCTTTCTGAGAGAAACTAAATCTAAATAGAAAAAGAATACAAATACAAAAAATAATTTTTACAGTTTAATATCTTTAAAGAAAAGAAAAGTGGCATTTAGAAAGCTAGGAACAATGTGCTAATTTTTAATTAACGTTTCAAATTTCAAAAAAAATTTCGCCATTATAATTAATTCTACAAACAATATAATCTTTATCAATTCTATCTATTAATTTACTAGCTATCATTTTGGTACGGATGCTTTCTGGATGTGTCAAATAAGAGCGGAAACTGGACCGGAAAATCATCAATCCGGAACATGCAAGTTGGGGCCAAGTACCGATCCAAACGCAGTAGTAGATTCGGAACTTCGAATACATGGTATATCAAATATTCGTGTCGCTGATGCTTCCATCTTTCCCATTGTGCCAAACTCGAATCCTATTGCTGGGATCATGATGGTGGCCGAAAAAGCAGCTGATATGATTAATAATGCATGGCCGCAGAAATATTAAATGTAAATGTTAAAAAATTAAATTAAATGTAAATGTTCCGGATTGTAATAACAAAAACGATACACGCGCATGCGTGTGTGCAGCGTGTGTGTGTTGTGCAAAGATAAATAAAACAATTTTAAATAAAGAAGAAATTTCTTCAAATTCTTTATTAATGAATATGGTAATGGCTTGGGCCAAATTTGCGCGCAGCATTTTTACGCACATGGCGGTGAACCGCTCTATGTTACTTAACACGAGCGGTCGAGTTGAGCGAAGACATTATGATCTTATATAATGGCTACAATAATCGATTTTTTTATTCAATCGATACCTTGATTTGAAAATCATAATAAAAGTGTCTACTTTTTCCGTATAATATAAACAGAGATATTTAAATGTAAAATCAAAATATAAAAAAAAAACTTTAAAAAATGCCGACATCTAATCCATAATAATAAAAATAAATAATTGTATCTTAATTATGATATCTTCCACATCTTTTTATTTTAGAGCAATGTGATATTAATCCTTTTTTCAAATGTGTAATTGTTCATACAATGTTTACAATAATTTTATATAATTTTATTTTTTTAATTAACTTGGAGCATTTTTATAATATCAGTTTTTGTTATAATTGTTATTTCTCCATATTGATATTTATTATTTTTTTTTAACTTAAAGCCACTCTAGAATTTTCAAAAAAATCGAAATTTTTTTTTGCTTTAAAAGGTGTCTAAGGGTCGTAAAAATAAGAAATGATGTCCATTATGCGGAGAGAGGGGAGGGGGGAATTTGTAAGAGCCCGTATTTCAAATCGGACTGTGACACCTCGCGCGTTCCGAGCAGCTGCGACGATTCACAAGGGAAATATCGGAAGTCTCCCCTCCCCGATTTTAATGAGCTTCCATATTAAAATATAGACAAAAATAAGAGACACATATTTTTTTATCTGCATTCTCGAATGTTAAGAGGGTGAAACTTCCCTTGAAAAAAATCGGTTTTTTTTCCTGAGTCCAAACCGTTAAAGATCTCAAAAAATGTTTTAAATAAAAGTTTTACGGCTGCAAGTGCACTTTACAACGACGTATTCGAATTTTTCAAAAATGTTATATTTTCGAGCCTCCCTTCCCTTTAATTTTCAAAAATTTTTAAATTTTTATAAGGACATGAATTCAAAAGTATTTTATGCTGAATACAACGGTATATAATAAAGTTATTTTCCGAAATCGCATTTTTGGGAAATGATCGAGAAATACCTCTATATACACGCTTCATACGTATTTATCTCATACCGCGTTGGCTGCGCGGGACAATGTTAAAAGTGAATATGATGCAGTTCGTCAGTACTGTATCAGTGCAACAATAATTATTGAAATAAAAGTTTTTTTATAATAATAATAATGAGAATAGTAATAATAAGTGTACGCACTCGCGGCGAGTTTACCTCACG